TGGAGGTGAAAGAAAAATGGAAGCATCAGAGAGTTAAAGAGTAATAATGAAAGTACAGGATAGACGAATGGAAAATGTGAGCAGTTCAGACCCCGGCAGTGATGGGCTATTCTAGTAGGTAATTGAGAAAACAGTGGGTGTTGAGTAGAGTAAGATGTTTGAAACCAGAGACTCTGCAGCTCTCTGTAGGGCTAGGCTGTAACCATGGAAACAGGTAACTCAGTTAAAAATGGGGGTTGGGGGGAGAAGTCATTGCTCCCAAAGCAGGTAATCAAAGAACTAAATGGCCAAGATGTTGGACAGGTCACCCAGTTGGATGTTGATGTCACCAAGACTGATGATAGAGGAAGACAGCCAGGGGCAAAAGTCCTCAATAGATATGTCACTGAGAAATCAAGACTGGTATATGGAGTTGGAAGATTTTTTTTTCCCAGACAAAAGCCTAGCTCTTTTTCTTGATGGCTAAAAATAATAGATGGTTCAATGAAGATGATGAGGAATAAAACATTCTCTTGGCTTTAACTAAGTTGGCAATCAGTAATGAACTCTTCACTGAAGTCAGATTATTGAGATCAAGATCTTTTCACATATATGAAAAAATCATTTAAAAATATGGAAAGTCCTTGGACTTATCCCTAGGCTTGGAGAGCCTCCGATCATCAGAGTGGACACATCCTTGAGCCAGGCTGTCTGGGTTCAGATTCTGGTATTGCTGTTTCCTAAGCTTATGATTCTGGACAAATTCTTTAATCTCTTTGAGCCTATTTTGCTATCTGTGATAATGACACTTAATCTGTCAGATTGATATAAAGATGATACTGCTTAACTTGTACAAAGTACCTATCATGAAGAATTTGGGACAAATTTAATAAGGACAATAGCATTATTGTCCTAGAACAGAGTAGAGAATTCTCCCAATAAGGACTGGAAAAGCAGTGTTTGCTCTTATTCTACCAGATCAACAAGTTTGGGAAATTGTAGGCTTAAATTTTTTGAACAAAATGTACAAGAATACATTTTTAAGACATCTTCTTTGCTTTGGGAAAACAAGAATTTTTAGAAAGAAGTTGAAAACACCTCATTTCTAAGATCAGTCATTAAGCTGGTCATGGAAATGCATGTATGTAACACCAGCATTTGGGAGGTGGACTCATGAAGCTAAAAGCCACCTATGGCTACATAGCAAGTCTAAGGCTAGCCCGGGCTACATGAGGCCATGCCTCAAAACAATACAGGGCCAGAAGATGGCTTAATTGTTGAAAGCATTTGCTGCTGTAGAAACATGATGACCCAAAGTTCAGTCCCCAGAACTCAGGCAAACATCTGGAAGAGGTAGCAAGTGACAACGGTCCATAATCCCAAGAGTCCTCCTGTTGGATGAGTGGCAGAGACAGAAGGACTCCCTAGAAGCTTTCTGGCCAGCTAGCCTGGAGAACCCTAAACAGCAGAAATAAGAAGCCCTTCCTAAGCAAAATGGAAAGAATGAACCCACTCCCAAGAGTCACCTTTTGACCTCTATGCACTTCCATGGCAGACTTGAGCCCATGTTCAAACATACACACACACCACGAAAAGAAAGGATTTAAATGTTTCTAATTTTTTAATTAAAAATGCAAACCTATGGGATGGAGAGATGGCTCAGTGGTTAAGAACACTGACTGCTCTTCCATAGGACCAGGGTTCAATTCCCAGCACCCACATGACAGCTTACAACTGACTGTAATTCCAGTTCCAGGGGACACCCATGACAATAATGCACATAAAATAAAAATAGGTAAAAGAGAAAAATAGGCCTTCTCTTCTTAAACCACAGCAGAGACAGGCAGAATGCCTTATAAAACTCTAGTATTAAAAAAAAAAAAAAAACCTCTATTATTTCCTGGGCCAAAGGAAAGCCTTAACCCAATTAACTATCTCATATTTAAAGGAAGTAATCAACATGGAACAAGTGGTTCCACGATAGGGACAGGAGACAGGGAAAACCATGAACCCCAATCACTAATGTCTTATCCCTTTGGCAGTATGTTTGTTTGTTTATCATCAAAAATAATGAGTAGGCATTTAGTTTTGAAAGATCAAGGCTCCCCTCAACAAGGCACCAAGCAGTAACTGCTAGAGCCAGAGGAATCTAAGAACTTCTCTCTTAACTATGCTCAGCCGTGCCTGGATCCACACCATAGATTTGTGCTGCTGTCAACCTTAAGTCAAGGAAGCTTCCTTTTACAGTGGGCAGCAGCTAATACAGGGCCTCATGGTTGACTGTTGCGTGCTCAGCTCTAAGCTGGACAGATGCGACACATCCTCACCACCTCCCAGAGGACATCTGGAAGAGGGGGCAGAAAGAATGCAAAAGCAGATGATGAGAGGAGTATTGAGAAATGCTGACATCTGAGCATGACATGGCCATTGCACTCATAAACTCCCTGCAGCTGTTGTCTGCAGCACTCCTACACTACATCAAGGCTGTCAGAATTCCAGCATGGATGGGAGAGGGGCTTACCAGGCTTTGCCCCTAGATGAGGAGCTATTAGCAATTAGGGCTGTTAAGGAATGAAAGGGTCATTTTTCTGCAGGGTGAAGCTACTGGTAAACTGTGGGTGATCCAGTCAATAACACCACATCCATGCTCATGCAAGCAGCCTTAATTAAACTCGGTGAATCATAAAAACAACACATACATACATACATACATACATACATACATACAAGAATAGGAGGGGAGCTGGGCATTGGTGGCGCATGCCTTTAATCTCAGCACTTGGGAGGCAGAGGCAGGCAGATCTCTGTGAGTTTGAGGTCTCCAGCCTGGTCTCCAGAGCAAGTGCCAGGAGAGGCTCCAAAGCTACACAGAGAAACCCTGTCTCCAAAAACCAAAAACAAAAAACAAAACAAACAAAAAACAAACAAACAAACAAAAAAGAATAGGAGGGAAACATGTTGGGAAGAAGAGATCCAGAGGTATCTAAAATTTGCCACTATGCTTTAGATATTATTATTAATTATTATTATTTTTATTTTAATAGCATGGAGCCCTATCCATGTGAGCCCTGGTTTGGGTACATACATGGGTGAGGGCATGCCACCGCGTACCCATGAACTTGTCTTCCCTAGGATCCTGGTCCATTTGTATAATGTTTCTGGAGGTAATTTGTCTAAGAACAGGAGGTTAACAGCGGACATAGCAACCTACTTGAAGTTAGTCAAGATCGCTCTGAAACAGCAATGAAAAAATATTGATTGGCTTATTATTAATAACGTTATCATTGCAGGGTGTGGCGTGCATGTGTGGGGTCAGAGAACAACTCTCTAAAGTCCATTCTCTCCTTTCACCTTTATGTGAGTTCCCAGGATCAAACTCAGGGCACCACACTTGTGGAGGAAATCGTCTCTACCCATTGAGCCACCCTCCCAGCCAGAACCCTTCTTGCCACCACAAATTCTCAATGGATCAAAGTTAAAAGTTCCTCAAAACATGAAAAAATTGGCCAAGCCTTGGTTAAAATGGAGCTTGGTTTCTAAAGTTAAGCAGAAGCCCCAGCTATTTCTGAATCTTCAAATGTCCTTATCATTTTGGAAAATCTCATGGCTCTGAGTAAGGTTGAGAGGAGTGTGGGATATTCCTGACCCCATTTTAGACATGTTCTGGGTTGCTTTTAAAATTGTGCCAACTTCCAACAAAAAGCAATTCTTGTTTTTAAAAACCAAGAGGGAGAATTTCCATGCTCTCACACTGCTTTAGCCCCCTGCTTCTTGTGCTGATTTTAAGTTCCTGCCAAGGTTTACAGAGCAGCATTCTGAACCCTTTTGATGATTTTTCTGATTCCCATGAGACCAGATTTTATAAGCAATTGTGGGTTAGACAACCACAGGCCTATATCTCCTTTATCCCTCCCAGAAATACCCAAATAGTAAATTTGTCTAACTTTTTTTGGAAGAGATCCTTATCCTCTACTGATTCATAGGTTGATTTCAATTAAATCTATTTATAAGTTTGCATTACCAGTCATGAATTTACTTGGCCAAAAAAACTCATTAAAAGAGAAAGAGAAGGAAGCAAGGAAGATAAAGGAAGCAAGATAGAGGAAGTTTGGTAATCAGATGATGACTTTAAAAATAGATAAGCCCTTGGGGCTGGAGAGATGGCTCAGAGGTTAAGAGCACTAAATGCTCTTCCGGGGGTCCTGAGTTCAATTCCCAGCAACCACATGGTGGCTCACAACCATCCATTATGAGATCTGGTGTGCAGATATTCATGGAAGCAGAATGTTGTATACATAATAAATAAATAAAATCTTTAAAAAAATAGATAAGCCCTTGAGCCTTCCCCGGGTTTCTTGACATGGCTCTAGAAGTTTCATTCCAGTTATAAAGCACTGAGTTCAGAACACCAACTTCTTTTATTTCATTTGATAAATCAGCCTGCTCAACATGGGCTGATCAGAAAGCCGGTGAGTGAAAAAGAGAGTGGGAAGTATTTAATGCTACCCTCTCGGATTCAGATTAAGGAGAAATGGTGAGATTTCAAAAGGAAAAGGTATAATACATTTATTGTGAAGTTGCTAAATGATAAAATAAAGTGTAAGTCAAGGTAATAAAGTGATTTGAAAATATGATCAAGGAAGTTTTCTTTAAAAAAAATCAAAGACAGTTTTTGGGGGGCGGGGGTGCAGAAGAGATTTGTAAATCGAGAGCGAAACTCAAGTAAACCTAGTTTACTACCTAGTAAACCTACCTAGTTTTTGACTCAGGGAAGGGGAACTTGAAGAAATGGGAGGCAATGTTTAGAATTCTTTGAGGGACATAAGATGGACTGAGGCAAATCCGGCACAAATCAGGGTGCTTGTAAATTTTGCAAGCGCATTGGAATGTCCAGGTCAAGAGGTAAATTGGCCAATCCGGTATTTCTCAAACTTTCCAAGGTATTTTCGGAGCCTGGAAAATTGTTCCCTCTGGTGATTTCAGTTCCCAGCATAATCTCTGTATGACAATTTAGCCCTGTTGGTAAAACCACTGACTCAAAGGAGAATTTCTGCTCTTCTTGCCCATTCTGTAGCCATTTTGATTTTTATGTTACCAGTAATAGTTTGATGACAGGCTAGAAAATGACTTCCCGGGGAAGCGAATATTACTCAAAGACAGAGAGAAGTGCTCTCCTCACTTATATGCTGGAGCCTTGAGACTGCCATTTGGACCTCCCATGACCACAGATCTCTGACTCAGTCTTTATGTAGCTAAGTATTTACTCCCAGTCACAAAACACAAAAAGCAGCTTAACTTGCCCCAAGGCAAAAGCATAAATTTTCGGTTTCATTTTTCTACCACACCCATCCATAGTGTGGCCAACTGTTTTGCTGGTCACAAAACGAGGTTAGGTGTGACCTTGAAATCTGACCCTTGGGATACAGGCAAAAGTGAAGTACATGACTTGCAAGTTCAGCCGGGAGAGGTGGGGGCGGAATCCCAGACTGCAAAGCTTCCAAAGGCACTTTGTGCGGTACTACGGGTCCCTCTCCCTGGCACAGGATAGATGTGTCTCAGTACAATTTCTTGTCGCTGTGAGAAAATATCCTGAGAAGAGCAACCTGAGGGAGAGAGATTCTGATCGCTCACCATTCTGTTACAGTTCATCACGGCCAAGGATTCGAGGCCCGAGGAGTGCGCAGCAGCGAATCACAGTGCAGCAAATCACAGTGCAGGAGCGAATCACAGTGCATCTGCGAGTGCGGAGCAGCGAATCACAGTGCATCTGCGAGTGCGGAGCAGCGAATCCCAGTGCATCTGCGAGTGCGGAGCAGCGAATCCCAGTACAGCTGAGAGTGCGGAGCAGCGAATCATAGTGCAGCTGAGAGTGCGGAGCAGCGAATCACAGTGCAGCTGAGAGTGCGGAGCAGCGAATCACAGTGCAGCTGAGAGTGCGGAGCAGCGAATCCCAGGGCAGCTGGGAGTGGTGCGCAGAAAACACAAGTGCAGCTGAAGGCAAAAACAGCATGCCTCGGCTTATCTCCCTCTCTTCTCCACTCCAACATCCCCTGCTGGCTCATAAGCACTCCAGGAACCCGAGACAAGAGTCTCCTGACTTCAGTTTCTTCAACACCACGGAACTGTTCTTGGATTGTGCTTCGTGCCACTCACAGGTATATCGGATAGGAGTGAGTTCACTTCAGATTGTTCATTACAATTGGCTATTGTTATTTGTACACCTCTATGGAAGAACATGTGTGCCACGTGCTGTTTGTCCTTGTGATTATACACTTTGCTCATGTGACTTCTTAGGCCTCAGAATGTAAACTGTTTGGTTGTTCTGAATAAAATTGACCATTGCATGAGAATTCAGTCTGCCTGGTTTATTGGCTCCATTCTCCAAGTCCCACTGCCTCTAAAGCAGTAGAGAGTCCACAAGTGGACAGTGGACAACTCTTCCTGCCTTAATTTTAACATAATCAAGATAAGCCCCCTCAAAAACACCCACAAATTCTGACACATTGACAACACTAATCATCGTATCATCTCACAGGAGTTTTCCATGAGGAAAAATGACACTAACTGGGAAAAGGGGTGTGGAATTTCTTTTATTACATATCAACTTTCAAACAAAAGGGTAAATAGGACCGTCCTGTTTGGTGCATAGCAAGTAAGCAAGCACCACAACCAAATACACACACAAGCAATTGGATACTAAAATTATAAACTGAGCTAAAAGTGAGTTTAGTGTTTATGTATAAAAGACATTAAGTCCATAAATAACTGAACGTACTTTATCTGAGAGGGCATTGTTCATTACTATTGGAATAGGACTGGAGTCCTTGCCCAAGTTCTCAACTCTGAGTCAGACCATCTTGATAATGATCAAGTTCATTTTCTAGTCACTGGGCATCAGCAGCTCAAGCCAAAATGTCTGTTTGAGAATCGAAGGAAATGGAAACATGAACTAGCTTTTCCTTCACAGACAAAAGTAAAAATGTTCCTCATTTCATTTTAAATAATTTGTCGACCAAGCTGGGACTGGGTCATTACATAAGCAAAATTTTGGATTTCACCATGAAAGCAAAAACATTTTTATTAGCATCACTTTGGTTAGAAGAGTAAGCCAGCTCATCTTTGTCAAATTGCTTCCATCTGTCCCCCCAAATAATTTCCTTTTTCTTCCCCACTGGCTTCCAGCTGCTGATGGCCTGACACATGAGACACGCCTTCTCATGGTGGGAGTTACTCATGTTGGGGGTCCCTACACTGAAGATCTTAAAGAAGGCTTTCATCTCATGTGGTGTTCAGCTCACTATAAAAATCCAGGAATGGCTAACTGCAACATTACCAAAAAAAAACAAAAAACAAAAAAAAACAAAACAGCCTCCTTCTGTCCACCATTGGTCTTCATTGGGGAACGTGTGAGGCTGTAATGTATTTGGAAGTCAGTACAGCTTACATCCAGAACCTGCCTTGCATTGCCACTGTTAGTATATTTACTTATTTAAAATAATCACATGGCACAATACAGAGAAACCCTGTCTTGAAACAAACAACAACAACAACAAAAAAAAAATCACATGGCTATAAATTATGCTAAAATGAAGTAATTTACAAAGATATAAAACAGAGTTTTGGATTCCAGCAGATTGGAGTTTAAATTTTGATTCATGGACTAACTGAATAACCTTATGTCTGTAACTTAAAAATCCTCTGTTCAGGTGGGTGGGGTCACACATAGTCATCATCCTAGGCTGAGACAGGAGGATTGTTACAAGTTTGCTGTTAGCCTAGGCTATACAATGAGTCCTAGGCCACTCTGAGCTATGGTGGCCTCAAAGCAGCAACACTCTTGCCACTGGATGTCTGTGTATGCAAATATAATAAGAATATTTGCTTCGGTATCTGTGTTAGCACATTGTGTGCCATGTCATGAGTAAGGAGTTTAATACTATGCCTGAGATGCAGAGCTTCATACAAGGTCCATACATTTCATGTGTCTGATGCATCTTCTGTGCCTCCACCCAACAAAGTCAAAAAATGAATGAAATATTCTTTTGTGAATTTTGGTTCCAGGTTCTAATGGTTCTAAATAGAAAAACCATTCCATTTGGGGTTTCTCCATACCTTCATTTGTGTGTATGTGTTCTTTTTGTGTTTTTACTGATTTATTTCATTTGTTAGATGGTGTGTCATATAGCCCAGGCTAGCTTGGAATTCTTTGTGTATCCCAGATAGCTTCCAACCCCGGATGGTCCTACCTGCCTTACCCAACTGCTGCGGTTGTAGGCACACACCCCTATTTAGGAGTCCGCTTCAAGTTTTGTTTTTTAGTGACTAGGTCTTGCTATATGGCCCATACTAATCTTGAATTAATGGCTATCCTCCTGCTTCAGCCTCCCACATAATGAGGTCACAGCAATGTACCACCTTGCCTGGCTTTTTTGGTTTAAAAAACAAAACAAAAAACCTCACACCAGGCTCAGTGGCACACACCTATAATTCCAGTGCTTGGGAGGCAGAAACAAGATTGCTGCAATCGTAAGACCATCCTGAGCTACACAGAGTTCTAGGCCACAAAAGGCTACATAGAAAGACCCTATCTCAAACAAACAAACAAACAAAAAGCTAATGACTTAAGTCTATGTGAATGCATAAAAATCTTTCATTTTCTGGGTGGTGATGGTGCACACCTTTAATCCCAGCACTCAGAAGACAGAGGCAGAAAGATCTCTGAGTTTGAGGCCAGTCTAGTCTACAGCGTGAGTTCCAAGACAGCCAGAGCTACACAGAGAAACCCTATCCTAAAAAACAAAGAGAGTCATCTATCTTAAATAATCTTTGAGAGTCAAGATAAAAAGAAAAAAACACACTACAATCTGTCCCCTCAATGCCTGAGGTGGGAGGGGCTAAGGATGTGGATCAATGGCGCAGTATGTGCTTTGTATGAGCAAAAAAGACCCTGGAGTCTAGCCCTAGCACCAAATAGATAAATAAACAAGAATTAAAACAAACCAAGCTGTTCTTTTCAACAACTTTATGAAAGGGAAGAAAGAGATTGTGGAGAGAAATGGGGGGTTTTTTAGCTGGTATTTGGACTCCTCCAATTGTTTAAGAATGGACCTACAGATTTGACTGAGACTCAGTGAGGAATCAGCACTGAGGGACAGCTGGAGTAACTGTCATCTAACGTGACAGGACTGCTAATGCTGAGGTCTGCAAACTCTACATCTTAATTATAGAATACTAAAAGTATAGGCGACCCTCCCCACACACACACTTTCTAAACCATCACTCTTGAATGCTCCCCATTGACCCCCTTGAACACCAATGTAGGAGTCCCCACATTAGTGGTGCACCGAGCCCAATTTCTGGCTTTTTCAAGGCAGGGTTTCTCTGTGTAGCCCTGGTCATTCTATAGACCAGGTTGGCCTCAAACTCAGAGATCTGCCTGCCTCTGCCTCCCAAGTGCTGGCACTAAAGGAGTGTGCCATCACCACCCGGCTCAATTTTTTTGTCTTTTTAAATGAAGATAGCTCAGAAAGTTATCCCTTTAAGTCCACTCAATTGTGTGTGTGTGTGTGTGTGTGTGTGTGTGTGTGTGTGTGTGTGTGTGTGTTTTAATCACTTGATATACTCACAATTAATACATTAAGGGAAGTTTACAGTAATCTTTTCTTTTAATTTGCTATGTGTAACACTCAAGCAAAGGCTGACTGAATGAGAAGCTATCTCATTTTCATAGAAAGGTTTTCCTACAATGTGACTTTTTTTTTTTTGCCCCATTAACAAATTCTCACCTGTTTTCCTCTTCCTGAATGTTAGTTTCCATTCTGCCTAATGACAATGATTGTAGTATGTTATTGCAAGAAACCTATGCAGGAATTAAACCCCCAAAATGGATGAGGACATGCATGTCTCCACAAAAAATGGAACTGTTCTTCAAATATTATAGCATAAAGCAGGTCACAGGTATACCAACACAATCCTACAGGACAAGCAGTTGTTGAAAGATCTAATAGAACGCTTAAGGAGATGCTCCATAGGCAAGCTGGTAAGTCAAAACCCCCCAAATATAGGTTACATAATGCTTTATTGACACTAAACTTTCTTAATGCCAATGACAAAGGACAAACAGCTGTGGAAAGACACTGGACTACAAAAAAAACTACTAAACTAAATCAACCAGTGTACTTCAAAGATGTACTGACCTCGGTATGGAAGTTTAGACATGTGTTATGTTGGGGTAGGGGTTTTGCATTTGTTTCCACAGGAGAAGAAAACCTTTAGATGCCATAAAAATTGATCAAGATTCGAGTTAAAAAAGACAACCCTCTTGACAAGGACAACTAACAGGTATTTACTGAGGTATATCTCATAAACTAAATAAAAGCCTCCCAAAGGAAAGGGAAGTGCTTTGTTTTTATCTTCACAGAAAAACTCATCTCCAGAAGTCCAAGAACACTACATGAGTAGATACTTAAGAAAGTAGCTATTAACCATCAAACAAAAGGAATATGCCATACGGTAAACTTTACAGCTGTATCTCAAATAACTCTATTTCTCTTCATTTCCTAGTCCCTATTCAAGTAAATCAACACTAGATTTAGAGTTGGATTTGGCTTTCCTCCCCTAAAATCCAAGCATGTTGTTTAACTAAACTTTAGAATTTCTATATCATATCAAGAAGCCAGTTGATGTAATACAGAATAAATAAAGAATTTGAGGACTATCTTTTGTCTTTTCTTGGCTCTTTCTTTCAAGGTCTACACCCTCTCGTAATTGTTTTCCCATGGTTGCCTTTCCCAGCATACATACATATACAAGCAAACATTTCTCTGCTAACACTTATGTTTGAGCCCCATACAGCCAATAAAGACCCACCTGACAATCCCTAGATGCTCCGAAAAAGGAATTGGGCCATACCTTCTGGACTACACTGGATCCAACTGGATCCGTTTCAACTGACACTCCGACTAGAGCTTCGAGTACTGACTTCAATCAAGTTGAAGATTTCAACCTAGATCTTCAATCAGCAAATCCCATCTAACATGGACTGGAGATAACCCATTAGAGAATTTCACTATAACATTTTCTTCCCACGGGACCCCACAAGGCTACTATCGTCCCATTTCAGCAGGAAGTAACTTAGAAGATGCTACGCCCCTGTTCCCCATTATTGTCTATTAGGGTGGTATAAGCCTAGTTAAGAATAACTTTCCTATTGTTTTGGGTTGGGATTGGAAGGAGATGTTCAGGTTGGACACCCTGTTCAGATGACTTTAGGGCTTAGCTGGAATAGACACAGTTAGGATGTGCAATAGCAGATTATTGTATCTTCTCGTATTTCACCTTTATGATCATTGATT